GTGAGTGTGTGTTGGGTCATGATGTAAAATGCATTTTTTTTTTAAAGAAGAGGTAAAATGTCACTGTAAGCCCTTTCGTAAGAGGGGCAGGTGGGCCTCGACTAGGAAGCGCTCCCGGCCAGCGTCCGCCCTCCTAGCCCCGGAGGTTCCTGTACCGAGGGCAGCACGCACCCTCATCAGAGCCGGGTGGGGACTGGCTCTTGCTCTGGCTGGCATGTGGACATGGGAAACTGACTTTCAGGGGAAATCTCAGACTTCTAAATGCTGAAAAATAATCCAGAACTCGGAAAATGTAAACCACTGTAAGGATGAAAAAGCAGGTTACCGAATGCAGACGGCAATGCCTCTCTCCGGCTGCGGACCGCTCCGACGCGCAGACCTCGGCACACGGCATGCAAGGGCGATGCAAAAATAGTTTATTATGATAGAGTTTATGTAAAGTTAGGTAATATTTACAAAGTACAAATGGCCGGCTACATCCGGGGCACCGCGCACGGCACACGCAGGAATAAATATTCTGGTAAAATAACACTTCGATCGTAGTGAACAATGGATCACAAAGGATTTTTTTGGGAAAAAAGTCTCAAACTGAACCAAAAAGGCGTGAATTGTCAAGGAAAAACCAGAGAAGCCTAGCTGGTCAGGAGCCCTCCCCGCCCTGGGGTCCCTGTGAGCAGGGGCCGAGCCGGGGAGGCCGTGCTCACAGCCCGCCTGGCTCCCAGGCCCGCTCCCTCACGGCATCGGCGGCGTGGCGGGCACTGAGTCCTAGAACAGACACTCGACACCAGCTAAGGTACAAGCTGGGGCTCTGACCGTGGGTCACGGGACCTGGACAGGCTGTGCCAGAGGTGACGGTGACAGGTGAGCTGCGTCCACTGGACTGCATCCTCGCTGTCCTCGCCTGCTCCAGGCTTGGATCAGAGCGGGGTGCATTTGTGGGAAAAGCCACCAAGGGTTCTAATCCTGGAGGAGCTGAGCTACTTAACACTTCCCACGTGGGGCCTTGGGGAACCACTGGCGCCCTAGCAGCAGAGGAGCAGAAGGGCGCTGTGCACCCCGCAGTGAGTGCGTGACTGTCCCTGCGGTCCCCCGGCGCTCTGTGAATCAAGGCAGCCCGTGATGCGGCCGGCGGGGCAGGGAGCAGGCGGCCCACGCGGTGGCTCTGTGGGTCTCCAAACTGCCCTTCCTCTGCCCTGGCCCTGCCGCGCCCCCAGCTCCGAGGGGCTCCCCGTAGCCCCCAGGTCTCCCTGCGGTACTGCTCTACCCCGTTCTGAGCCGTGACCGCTTCTTGAGCAGCGGACACGCCGTAAAGCGCGGCCTCCACGGGGTCACACAGCTGGGAGCCGACAGCGCACCGCAGCCGGCCCTGCCCGTGGCGCGGGAGGTGCCGGGAACCGCGGGGACAGCCCTGCGACGCCAAGGCCCTCTGCTGCGGTGGCGCAGCTACCGGTCTCTTCATTTTCCCGGCTGGACGGAGAACGAGGACCAGGACAGGAGCCTTCAGTGGGAAACAGCGGGGCGAGGGGGTGCGAGGTGCCTGACCTCGGCCGCTGCTCACGGCCCAAGCTTTAAAAGATACACGTTATTAAAATTGCCTCCTCACGATGCGACGTGGGTTCAACGTGCCCTTGGAGCTGTTCTCCCCACCTTAAAAAGGGATGTCTGTGCAAGAGTTTTTTTTTTTTTTTTTTTTTTTTTTTGGATTTTTTCGTTATAGTTCTCACGTTCTGAGAAATCACCCCCCAGGGGGATGGTCACGCCACAATCCCTTCTCCTCCGTTCTCCTCTCGGGATCTTGGGCACGCACGCACACGCATCCGGCGTGAGTTTAAGCCACCGGGTCCGGGACGCGAACCGTGGTTGACTACGTGGGAGTCCAGCGACATAGCCATTACGCTAACTGCTGGTTCCCTGTGCAAGACTTTAAAAACGCACACTCTGACACTGTCGGAAGAACCCGTGCCGTCAGTCCGTGGTAAGGCCATCTGGAATAAAATGCACAGCTGCTCTTAAACACAGAGACGGCCAGCCCGTGCGGGAGCGGCTGCGAACAGGCGGCGTTGCCCGTCTGGGGGAGCGTGCTGGGAGCTGTGAACCCCCAACCATGGTTAAGAGTCGTGTGTTCTGGCGAAGGCTCTCCAAGGCGGAGGCCGGCTCCCCTTACAGAGCAGCGAGAGCCTGCAGCTGTCCTCTGCGGGCGCAGAGGTGGGTCAGGGTCTGTCCGTGGCAGCACGTGTGCAAGACCGAACCTGCCCCTGGCCGCGGCCTCCTGGCCACTCCGCTCCCCCAGGCCCACCTTTCTCCACCTGCTGAAGGCTGGCCGTGGTGCGCGGCCTACACACCGTGGGGCAGGCTGCGGGATGGCTGGCCTTGGCGCCCCGCCCAGCATCGGCTCTTGTGCTTGGGCGCAGCCCGGAGGCCTGGACAGGGCTTCGGAAAGCCAGGCAGCTGCTTAGCACCCGCCTGCTGCGATGCCGCCCTGTGCATGCCGCCCTGTGCCGGGCAGGCTGGCGACTCCTCCGGGCTCCGGGGCGGAGGCGGCTGTGGCCACGGAAGGGGGACAGCACGGCGGACGCTGACACCCTTTTGGACAAGGACGTCCCGGAGCCGCCTTCCCTCATTGTGCCGAGGCACTGAGAGGCGCCCCTGCCTCCGAGGGCCTGTTCAGATCTGCCTGGGACGGGCGGCTCCAGCTCGGCACCGGGATCTCAGGGCACCAGAGATTTCGATGAACTTTCTGGGGGAGCTCTCGTGATAATGCCCAACCTTTCTTTAAAACGTCACCGTGGGACTCCCCAGATGCAGAATATGCACTTCCCTGTCCTTTGTAAACTCCGGAAATGCTGAATTCCCCACCCCCGCTTTCTTGCTTACCAAAGGGTCACGGCTGTTTTTGGTTAGGTTTGGACGTGATGTCGTATAAAGCGAGGACCCGAATCCAGGCTCCGACAGGGCAGAGAAGCGAGACTTCCAGGAAGGGCAAACGTTACAGAGCGGCCGCCTCTCGGTTCTCTCCATGGAAACCGTCTTGGACCGTGGGTGGGAGAATGTGTGGCCGTGGACCGGCCAGAGCGGGCGCGCAGAGGGAACGGCACCCCCCGGTGGGACCAGGCTGTGGCCAGAGCTGCTCACCCAACCCTGGGCGTCGGGAACCACGGCGGCTTGTCTCCAAGGGCGCCCTCCCGCGCCAGCCCGTGCTGCTGTGGCTGGCCCGGGGGGCCCACAGGCACCCGCCAGCTCTCCGCATGTCCAGGTTGGTCCGTGTGGCCAAGGGCGTCCCACCCACCCTGCAGGGCGGCCAGCGCAGGAGGGCTTCCCGGTCTCCCGCCTTCTCCCCCAGGCCCCCAGTGTGACTGAGCCCGCGCTGCAGGTGCTGGTGGGGACGAGGTGAGGAGAGCCAGCGAGATGGGCCTCGTCCACTCCACCCTCCTCACCTGGAGGCGGGGAGCAGCTGGGCCCATGGCCGGTGGTGCCCACAGCAGCCCTGCAGGGAGCGGATGGTGGGGGGCCGGCACGCGGGTCTCCCGCCTTCTCCCCCAGGCCCCCAGTGTGACTGAGCCCGCGCTGCAGGTGCTGGTGGGGACGAGGTGAGGAGAGCCAGCGAGATGGGCCTCGTCCACTCCACCCTCCTCACCTGGAGGCGGGGAGCAGCTGGGCCCATGGCCGGTGGTGCCCACAGCAGCCCTGCAGGGAGCGGATGGTGGGGGGCCGGCACGCGGGGGCGCTCCCTCCCAGGCTGGGCTGCGCTGTTCCTAGGACACACCTGGGGGGGCAGGAATTCCATCCTCCC